TGTACAACCAGCTGTACGGGAAGAACCGTACAACCGATGGAAATTAGCAATCAAGTGGAGCGCAATCGAGTCAAATCCTAGGTGCATTTGATCAGAAAAGGAAGTACATAACAGGGGGAGCAGATCTGCAAAGGTGATGGTGAAGATGATGATGGAGATAGTGATGGTGATGTGATAATGGGGATAGTGATTGTACTGCAGATCGAAGTGTTCATGGGGAAGTGGCTGATATAGAAATTTTTGGTCCGAAATAATTCAGCGTTTAGGTGAGGGAGAAGAAGAAGTGTTGGAGCTTGATTTTAAACTAAGTGGAATGAATAAACAACACTTTAGTTGAGAATGAACATTACTTCATTTAACAATGAGTACCACTTTGTTTTAGAATGAACACTAGGTTATTTGTAGATTATTATTATAATTGTATGAAATAATTGTGTGAGAATAGATACTACTTTATTTTAAAATGAGTACCACCACCCGGATGTACCTATTTTCTAGGAACACAGGCCGTACCACATACCTTCTCAAACTTGATGTCCCATCCTTTTGCAGGCCTTTATGTAATATTACCTCCGTCCTAGAGTATTTGTCCACTTTCATTTTTACACATTACAAGAAAATATGCATTTTTCCGCACTTATTTTGCAACACATAACTATGTGTCTCAAAAATTTAATGCGTATTACATTTTTTCACATTTATATGTGTTGCCATGAAAAATCTCACACGGGCCCAATACATAACCCAAACTCATACATACACAACCAAAAATCTATTATTCCATTTTTGATCCGTATATGAGATTTACAACGAGACTTCTATCACGCATCAAATTCTTCATCTCCTTCAATTATGTGTTTTGTTTTGCAACTTCACTGAGGTGCATATGAGATTGCTCATGTTCTAATGCTTTCTTCTTTTACTGCATATTAGATTGTAATGCTGCTGGATTTCATTTCAGCTCAATATGTTGTGGATGGGATCTGCAAACACTGGAAAGGATTGTACGCGAGGGAGACTTGATCTTAAATGGAGATATAGTTTGATGATTGATTTTTTGTTAGTTAATTATTCATTTCCTGTAACACCCCGGCCCCCACCCTAGCCGTAAGTGTTCGCTCATAAAATTGTAGACTGGCCCCACAAACCAACACGAGTCTTTCCTGCCCACTTTGTCCTCACTCGTGCGCGCCCAAGGAAACTTCCCAGGGGTCACCCATCCTAAAATTGCTCTTAGTCAAGCACGCTTAACCTTGGAGTTTCTAGGTGATGAGCTCTCAAAAAGAAAATGCACCTTGTTGGTATGAGTAGTACTATCAATCCTTTTGAGCTCTTCCCATTTCCATCTTAATACGGGGCATTACATTCACCCCCACTTAGGAATGCAACGTCCTCGTTGCATCCTTTTTTAAGCCTTAGATCTTCCCCGCTAGGTGAACTAAGCTCTTCTAGCCTGTCACGGTCGTAGGGTTGCTCTGTTACCTTTTGTTGTAGGACACGATTTTATTATGTGGCCTGAGTTATCATTTATCTAATTAATTGATCATTGACCTAATAAATACCCTACGTATTTAATTGGTAATTATTCGATGGACGTAATTACCCTTACGACCTAATTAGGGTTTCCCCTTGGGTGTATATATAGAGGTCATTAGGCAGAGATCAGAACACACCAATCTTACGCCTCCTCTCTGCCTCTCTATTCTCGTGAGTCTCATCCTCACCTTAGCCATCATAACGATACACCCTAAACGGGAACTCGATCTGCATCAGAATCATGACCTCATCCCTAACTACATTTACAGGATTATCATGTACACATAATTTAATTCCTAATTTATACTTTTATGTTCAAGAATTGATCAACATTTGTAACACCCCGGCCCCCACCCTAAACGGGAACTCGATCTGCATCAGAATCATGACCTCATCCCTAACTACATTTACAGGATTATCATGTACACATAATTTAATTCCTAATAATACATTCTATATTAAATATTTTTTTTTAAACAATTAAAAATTGCCGCATCTACATGTGCGGTGAATTGGAAACACTTACAAATGTGGCAAATGAAAAGATTAACAACACTTATAAGTGTGCTTAATGTAGTAATTTGCCACACTTATTTTATGTGTGGCAAAATTTTCCCCACATTCCCCGCCGCCACACTTAGCACATGTGTGGCAAACACTTTTTCCCGCACTTATATGTGTTGTGAATAGCAAGTTTAAGTGTGGCAAAAGCCGCATTTTCTTGTAGTGACACACCATCCAATGCACTTCTTTAATCCATTTTATTTTGTAATTTGTATATTAAAAAATTATAAAAATTATATATTAATAAGAGGAATTTACTTAAATAGCACTAAAACATAATGACCTTCCCTAAATAGCACCACATGTGTTTTTCTTCCCAATGTAGCACTTTTAGTCATTATGTATTAGTCATTATTGAAGCAAATATTCGCCATCACAGGACATTATGGACATTATTAAGTGCTATTTAGGGAATAAAACAGTTTAAGTGCTATTTAGAGAAATGACTTAAGTTTTGGTGCTATTTAGTGCAAATATTTCTATTGATATTTCTATTAATAATCTATATGTTAAGACAAATCAAACAAGATTACATATGACTACATTTAGGCTTACACATTGAGAGAATTTGATGAGTTAAAGTGCTTAAATGAACAGTTCCAAAAGTCAAAACTGGACGAATACTCCAGTACGGAGAGAGTATAACTTCATTTCGCATCCTTCATGAGTTGCCTGACTGTTGTGTATGTTCAATTTTTATTCCTCCTTATTTAGCTCTAAACTTTTATTTATCTGTTTCATACTCATCTGTTTCATAAAATGGTTCCTATTTCGATTTTTAGGAAAAATTAGAATTGTATATTTATGGTTGACTTTCCAATTTTACCCCTGATGCGATTGGTAAAAGTAAAATGTGATGGATAAATTATTAGTGAAAATGTATGATGTGATAAGTATGTTAAGAAAAAATAGGGATACAAGTGATTTTTTAATAGAAAGTGAAAATATTTTGAAAAAATAAAAAATAAAAGAAGAAGTGTTTTAAAAAACGAAGGGGTATTTTAAAACGTTATCACACCTAAGAGAACGCAGACCTGTTAAATTACGATCAAAATCGCTAGCAGGCCAAATAACAATTTAGCCTAAAAATAACCATTCAAATGCACATTTTAGCCAAAATATCTAACATGAAGCTTACATAAAGAAAAAATAATAGTATGAGCCACACAATTCTTTCAAAGGAATGCAAAAATCATTTTAGGATGTACTCCGTACTAGAGATGTAAACAAATCAAATATTTTAAATTCGATTCACGATTCGTATTCGAATATGATGATTCGAATTCGCGTTATTCAAATACAAATTCAAATTCAAATATTATTTTTGATTCGAATAATAATCAAATACAAATATAAATAGGGATATATTCGATTCGGATTATATTCGAATATTCAAATATATGTGTATATACACAGACCATGTTTTCAACATCAAAAGTCAAGCAAAGTAATATAGTATAAAATGTATTTAAAATACTAAGAATTTAATAAATTAACGTAACACAAAAATCTAAAGCATATGATTTTTAATAGTTATATTTTATAAAATATTATTTGTGTAAGATGAAAATGTTGTTGGGTTTGTGGAGGCTTGGGCTTGACTTTTGGCCCGGCCCATTTTACGAAACCCTAGATGCACTCTTCCTATATATATTGCATACTTGTACTTGTAATCGACACCACAAGTGAAATAAGAAAATCCTCCTGTTGCAGCCGTGGAATAGGGAAACCGAACCACGTTAAATTCTTGTGTGTCGTTTGTGTTCCGTTTCTCACAAATTATTTGTGTGTGTTGTGAGTTTAATTCCCAACAAGTGGTATCGGAGCCAGATTATTCAACACGAGAGCACAAATTGCGATTTGTCACCTAGGGTTCTTGTGTGAAGAACCGTGTGGATCTAGATCGGGGGTGTGTGGCCGTTCAATTGAGGAGCGCCGCTGTGTAGGCTATTTGCGTAGCGGCAGAAGCTTCTATCCAGAGGGAGGGACGCGCAACAACAAAGAACCACGCTGAGGAGCCGCTGCCGCCGTCAGCCGCGCAGGAGCAGCCGCAGAGCCGCCGCAGGTTGAGAAGCCGCCGCTGCCGCCGTCAGCCGTGCAGGAGCAGCCGCAGAGCCGCCGCAGGTTGAGAAGCCGCCGCTGACCCAGTCGCCGTCGAGGTCCCAGATCTCCGCCGCCGTTTGCGTACAGACCGCCGCACGCAGGAGTAGCGGCAGAAGGAGCCGCCGCCGCGTGGAAGAGCCGCCGCCATCGATAGCAGATCCTGAACCGCCGCCGTCCTCAGTCGCGCTGCTGGTTCGTGAAAGTCGCCGCCGCCGTCCTGTTTTGCCTTCGCCGAAAAAAAAAACAAAAGCAAAGGGGCTGTTTTTCTTGCTTTGCAGGTTCGGAGAAAAATAGGGAAAGGGATTTTGCTGGACCGAAGAAGAGAAAAAAAAGGTTGGGCCGTGTGAGTTTTTTTTGTTTTGGGCTGGCTATTTGTTTTGGACTGGTCTTAGTGGTGGACTTGACTTTCTGACGGAAAAAAAAATACCAAGATCTGAAATATTTGTACCGGGTATCTCGTCTAGTCGTTTGATATGGCAGAAGATGGGAAGTTTCGAATTGAGAAGTTCGATGGTACAAATTTCAGTTGGTGGAAGATGCAAATTGAAGATTTGCTGGTTCAGAAAGATTTGGACGTGGTTTTGGGTGACAAGCCAGAAAAGATGTCGGATGCAGATTGGGCAGGTTTGGATCGGAAAGCTATGTCCGTGATCCGTCTCTCGTTGAGCAAGAATGTTGCGTTCAACATTCTGAAGGAGAAGACAGCGAAGGGAATTATAGAAGCGCTGTCTAATATGTACGAGAAGCCATCTGCAGCGAATAAAGTTTTTCTGATTAGAGAGCTGGTGAACACAAAAATGAAAGAAGGCACTTCAGTTATCAAGCATATCAACAAGTTGAATTCGATCTTAGCCAGACTATTGTCAGTGGGCATTAAGTTCGATGATGAAGTTCAAGCTTTACTACTGCTATCGTCTTTACTTGATAGTTGGTCCGGAACGGTTACAGCAGTTACCGGTTCAGTGGGACCTGATGGATTCACCTTTGATCAGATTCGAGATCTCGTTCTTGGCGAGGATGTCAGAAGAAAGAGTTCGGGGGAGTCATCTGGTGAATTGCTTCATGTTGGCAGAGGCAGAAGAAATAGCAGAGGTAGTGGGAGCAAGAACAGACAAAGGAGTCAGTCGAAGACTCGTGAAAGCTCAGGTGTAACGTGCTGGAAGTGCAAGGAGGTGGGGCATTATAGGAATCAATGCCCGAATGACAAGAAAGTGAACATTGCTGAAGGCTCTACGAGTGACGAGGAGGTCACTTTGACTTGCTGTGAGGAAAGCAATGTGGATTCCTGGGTCATGGATTCTGGTGCTTCATTTCATGCTACCCACAGCGGTGAAGCATTGCAGAATCTAGTTGTTGGAGATTTTGGAAAGGTACGACTAGCAGACGACAGAGCTCTTGAGGTGACGGGCATGGGTGACATGGTGTTGAAGACCTCAGTCGGTCTCTCGACTTTGAAGGATGTTAGAGTGGTTCCAGCCTTGAAGAAAAGTTTGATTTCTGTCCGGCAGTTGGACGAACAGGGACACGAGGTTAAGTTCAGAGATGGGCAGTGGAAGGTCGTGAAGGGAAATCTTGTCATGGCCCGCGGAAGGAAGAGTGGTTCGTTGTATTTGGTCGAGTTACCATATGAGGGAGTGACCGCCCCAGTTCAGAAGAGAAACAAAGTCCGGTTCACAGAGTCTCGTGGGCAGAATAAGGTTGTCTATGCAAGAGAGAAACCTAGAGCCACAGGTCAGACTCAGGATGAACGAGCGTGGAAAGGTTCAAGGGGGCCAGTCAGAGGTATTTGTGGCAGTGGGAGCTCAAGAGGCGCTTCAACCAAGTTGCCTAGAAGACAGTGGGTCAGGAGAACCAGTATTCCAGCTGTTAGAACATCTCCAGAAAATTTCTTGCTGAGTATGGAGAGTGTTTGTTCTCAGGATGTTCCAGGATCCGGCAGTGTGCATCTACAGTGGGAGCTGGTAGGGACCGAGGACGAGTCAGGGGCAGATTTTGCCGTGACTGATGTGTTGTAGCTTGGGAGAGCTTCAACGGGCCTTTCAGTTGTCTGATGATAGGGCCGCTGCAACAGGAGAGCTGAGGAAGATTACTCGATGTACAGGGAATCGTGGTGGATGGCAGTTGATGACTATCAAGCCACCAAGTGGGAGAATGTTGGGTTTGTGGAGGCTTGGGCTTGACTTTTGGCCCGGCCCATTTTACGAAACCCTAGATGCACTCTTCCTATATATATTGCATACTTGTACTTGTAATCGACACCACAAGTGAAATAAGAAAATCCTCCTGTTGCAGCCGTGGATTAGGGAAACCGAACCACGTTAAATTCTTGTGTGTCGTTTGTGTTCCGTTTCTCTCGTTTCTCACAGATTATTTGTGTGTGTTGTGTGTTTAATTCCCAACAAATGTATTAATGTTTTTATATACAGAATATAGTATAGTATAAAGAGTATCGTAAATTAAATTACAAATTGATGTTAGTCCATCATATAAATTACATAGTATGATTATTCAAATATTCGTTTATGATTCGATAACTATTCGAATATTAATCAAATACTTATTCAAATCTTATTTTGAATTCGTCTCATATTCGGATTCGGATTCGTATTCGAAAAAATTAAACAAATTAAATACAAATTCAAATATATCGGTATTCGCTTCGATTCGGTTCGTTTATACCCCTACTCCGTACAAGGAAAGAAAATGATAAGATAATTTGACTATAGACCTTAAACATCATATAAAAAACAAAATCAATTAAAATATGTTCCACAATTTTCAATATATCACAACAGAAAATTGTATTTATCCATGAAATTCATACATTCTTCTAAGAGGTCACATAGCTTTCCATTACGAGTTAGCATTGAGCGCCAGCCTCACCACTTGGAAAATAACTGCATCGATGAAAAACAATCAATTATTCACATTGAGCACCATCACTTAGCTTTTATGTTTTTAAATACAGTCTTAAATTCATCAAATACTACATCCTATCCAAATATAAAGTATTGTGTCATTTGTAAAGATTATTTATGCCCCATTGTACTACAAATTGGGATGCCTACATACCCTTTATTTATGTCGTCTTTATTAGATTATTTATCTAGTTGAGAAATTTCACAATTTTAATTTATTTTATTAATATGCAATACAAATTGAGAGTAATTGAAATTTAAAGTTTTTCCAATTTGAGTAAAAAAGTCAAACTAGACAAATACATTTGGACGAAGTAGTATTATAAAACTAAAACGTATCAAACTTATTTTAAAATGAATCTTAAAATATCAAAATTATGTGAAAATTCAATAAACGCGCACACACACGTGTGTGTGTGTGTGTAGACACACACATATATATTGTAGTCAATATTTAAAAAGTTTGACCAACAGTCAAAGTTTTGCTTGAAAGAAAATTTTTAGAGGGAGAGAGTATATAACTATATACTCCCTCCGTCCCTAAATAAAGTTCCATTTTTGACTTTTTGAGGATTTAAGGGAGAGATATTTTTGTGTTGACTTTCCAAAAATACTCTTGATGTGATGTGTAAAAGTAAGATGTGATAGGTAGATTATTAGTAAAAAGGTATGATGCGATAGGTATGGTATGAAAAAGTAAGGGGTAAAAGTAGTCTTTTAAGGAAAAAAGAAGTTTATTTGGGGACAAAGAAAAAACGAAAGGGGGAGTTTATTTAGGGACGGAGGGAGTATGCGCGAAGAATGAAATGGGAAAGCTTACAAGAGGCAATAACGAGGACGGCGAAGAGGACGATGATGATGCGAGTTGGCTCAAACTTTTCCCTGGCCGACGAAGGATTTAACCCTCTCCTCGTTATGTTCTTCTCAAACTTTGCTATTTTCCTGTCTGCTACCCGTTTTGAGGTTGTCTGCATGCACATCCAAATATTATACATATATATTACACATATTACCCATTTCATCCAACCAACCAATTCTCTTCGTGGTAGAGAAATAATGCTACTACACATGCACATCCCATTTACACCACATGCATATTTTGTATTTTTAAACTAAACCCATTTTCCATTGAATGAAAAAAGAAGAAGAAAAAGTAATGTGATATATTTATTAGTTCTCTGATCTGTCTTCACTTACTCGTATTTTCTTATATGATTTTTCTAATACCTACTTTGTCCCTAAGAATCTTCCTTTTTTTTTTCATTCGTCGAGATCTAAGAGCAGGCCAGGGACAGGATTTGAAGGCACTGGCGGTGGGTGTAGAGCTCCATCAGCCGGATCTGGCCGTTGAAGAACAGCTCTTCAGTGGAGCTCATGGATCCGGCGGTGGCTTCGCTGTCTGCCGCCGCCAGACGGTCGGAGATGTCGAACTCGAAGGAGGAGTAACCGGCGGACGGGTTGTTTTGCTTGCATTAGGGTTTGGGGGTATTTTTGCCACCTCAAAGTAAAATGTCAATTCTTATTCTTAACACTATGTTTCATTCAATGAATTTTGAAGGAAAAGAAAATACAAATCGTTTTCTCTCATTTTCCTTACTAAAATGGGAGGAATTTGATTTTCCCTCCCCTTGTTACATTTTTGCCTTCTGATTCTCTTTTCCTTCCACTTTTCCTTTCTAACCAAACAAGAAAACTTGTTTTCCACTTCATTTTTTTTTCTTTTCTACTTTGAATTCCTTGAACCAAACATAGTGTAAAAGTCAAAACTAGAGGGTAAGACCGTAAGACGGGAGAAAGTATTAATTTTAATACTCCGTACTAAAGCATATTACTTCCGTTCTAAAAAATACTTCTTCTTTCATTTTTTCACTTCCAACAAAATACTTTCACCTTCTATTAAAAAATCACTTTTACCTTTACTTTTTCATACCTTAACTATTACATCATACTATTTCTCTAATAATATACCCATCACATCTTACTTTTACCCATCACATCAAGGGAAAAATTGGAAGTCAACTATAATTTAACACTTCCTTATTTTTTCACTTTTCAAAGTAGGAACTCTTTTTTAGAACGGAAGCAATATTATTTATAATCAACTCATATCACACTAACCTCACATCACAATATTTTCTTTTTTCACTACTTTTTTAAATTTGTAATTTAAAAAAATATTATGCAATAAACAACACAAAAAGAAAAACAAAACTCAATTTGCAATCAACAAAAAGAATTTTAAAAAGTAGGGAAAAACAGATTTTACAAAGAGACTTTTTTATGTAAACATTTCCTTTTAAAAAATTGTTCATACTTCCTAGCCGCCATAATTTACATTAGGAAAGATTCACACTAATACTCCCAAAAATACGTTTTTTTACAAAAATACTCCTACATTTGATAATTAGCACAACTGCTTCCAACTTTTTAATATTGGACCATGCTAGGGTGCCACCACATGAGTGCTACCATGAGTGCACCCATGCTTCGCACAGACAAACACAGACGATAATTGTCTGTGCGACACAGACAATTATCGTCTGTGTTTGTCTGTGCGAAACATGGTAGCACCCATGTGGTGGCACCCTAGCATTTTCATTTAATATTTTCAAAATGTTAGTTCCACTTGCCTAGTTAGCTAGCTCCTAGGTTAAAAAAGCTGACTTTTATTTTGAATACTCTTTTTTCATTTTAATTTTATTAAAAAGTTTCAAGTCTTCATCATACACACCATAATCTTATTGCATTTTTTCATCCCTTTATAATCTTATATTTTTAAAATTGATTTCCCTCATAAATAAAATGTTAATTAATAATCCATCTATTATAAATTAATAATTTGAGTTTCAGTCCCTGCAAAGTTTAATAAAGTAAAATTATATAATTAAAAATGAGGTAAATAGAGAAATTACTTATACTAAAAAAATAGTTAAATGAAATCTAGTTTTTTTAAATAATTAAATTAAAAGACCTAGGACATCCATTTTTGATAAACTTATAATGAAAAAAGAGTACTCAAAAATGTTAATTATGAAATTGGGAGTATTTTTGTAAAAAATTGTATTCTTAGGAGTTCTTGGTTGAAGATAAGAGTATTCTTATAAATTTTCCTTTGCATTATAAAATTAATATTCCACCCCTTCCGTCCCCAAATAATTTTTCCCCTTTCGTTTTTGTTTTCCTCCAAAAAAACTTCTCTTTTCTTTTAAAAAACTACTTTTAGCCCTTACTTTTTCATACCATATTTATCACATCATACCTTTTTACTAATAATCTACATATCACATTTTACTTTTATACATCACATCAAGGATATTTTTGAAAAGTCAACACTAAAATATCCCTTCTTTAATTTTCCAAAAGGTCAAAAAAGAAACTTTATTTGGAGACGGAAGGAGTATTTTTTAGGGGAGTATATATCAAACAAAGCCAATAACAGACAATTACATTAACATTTACAATGTTTTGTTAGGCCTCCAAGAAAGTCAATTTCTACCCATATATTTTCCAAAATCCTCCCAGCCCCCACCACAACCTCCACTACCCTCCCCCAAAATGCTGGAATACCAAATTTTCACCCTAGAGGAAGGGCTGTAGGAGTTGTCCTATCAACAATAATACGGCGTAACCCTTTGCAAATTTAAGGTTGTAAATGAATCGAATGTTTTTTGTTCGATTCGTGATTCGTATTCGTTTAAGGTGATTCGTATTCGATTTTTTCAAATCCGAATATGAATACAAATCTGAATATATATTCGAATCCTTATCGAATACGAATATGAATCAAGGATATTCGATTCGTTAGTTTGACAAATATATTCGGAATATAAATCTAATTATACAAATTTTATATATATATATATATATATATATATATATATATCAAATGGTTATAAAATATTTTTAAGCGAATATTTTTAAACGAACCGAATATGTTTAATATATTAAACGAACCGAATACGAATCTTAAAAAATATTCGAACTGAATTCGAATTCGAATATCACTCCATCTTAACGAATATGAATATTTTTCATGAATATTCGATTCGACTCGGTTCATTTACAACCCTATTTGCAATGAGCCTTAAAATGTTGCCCATTGGGAGGAGGCATCATAGAGAATCAAAGGAGCTAGTAAATTGGAATTGAAAATAAGTACTCCGCATGGAGTTAATACATACCCAAACTCTAAATTCTACTATCTTTTTCCATATGTTCCAAAAGATTTCTTCTATGTCAATTTTCGATCACTTTGTTTTTGGATGATTTTAGTATTATTGGACATTCTACACAAATAGATGATTGACTTATATTGGACAAATTTTAATAGACGTTATTTACGAGTTTGGATGTAACGAGTGTAACTCATTAAAAAATATTACAAATCTCATAGCAGGGACTCGGATGCAGCAACCACTGATAGCGGGGTACATATGACGGGGAGAATTTGTGCAGACAACCGCAAAACTTCTAAACCTTTGCAAGCATTCAAAAGTTTTAGTCTAAACGTTCAAATGTTACACTATAAGTCGTCATGTTGTTTCGCACAACAGACACGTTCATTCAGATTTTGTTCCATATATATAAGAGTCTAGGCTATGTTTTGGGGAATATAACTTTTATATTTGTTCTAGATACTTAATTACGTTTTATTCGATTGAAGTATTTTGATGCATACAAAAAATAATTACTTGAACCTAGAAGTGTGTTTCACATGACTCACCACGTGTGTCAAGTTTTTAGTGTTTCCCTGCATATCATTCGCTTCTAACATTGCTACACAATGTCGCCTACCATCAGATTTACAACTACGGTTAAAATTATTCTGAATATTTGTTACCCAACAAAGATTAAATTATATAAAGAATCTTTGTTCTCCAATACTTTTTTTTTTTGCCTATTTTGATAAAATGATATATAATCTCGTAACCCCTTATTTTATAAAAAAATTTATACGATTTTTAAATGTATAAATTTGATTTTTTAATTTACACCATAAATACCATAATATGCAAAAATAAGTCTTCCAGGGAGTATAAACTTCCCACGAGTTTTGATGGATAGAAATCCTTTTCTAACAAACCCCACTTTCCCCACATTGAAAAGAAGAATTTCATCCAAACAAATTGACGATCAAGATTTAATCAATGGAAATTGCTGAGAGAAGGAAAATATAAAATTCAACAAAGAAATAGAGAGGCGACTTTAATTACCATTTTCTCCTTGAATATAGGAAGCAAATTGCTGGTGAAGAAACAATCCGATGTATCCTTTGTGGAAATAGACTTAAACTGATGGGAAAAAAAAAAGAAATCACGATGATCTGAAACTTAAGATTCTGATGTACTCCGTATTAAACTTGTTTATTTATTTATTGTGATACCATTAATTATCCTGTATGTTTTTGAAATATTTATTGCAGGTTAATTAACTTTCCCTTTTCTCTTCAAAATTTCCTTTTTTGGTTTTGCCATTGATTGCAGTATCATCGTAATTTAAATTTTAATAATCCCACATTCTCAAAAACAACTTTACATTATCCTTTGTAAATTTGACTAAATTTATTATTTATTCTGATTTTTTTTAAAATTAGGATTTGTTCATTTGGGTTAGAAAAATTAACTTTTTACTATTTTCAATTCTTAATTTTCTCCTCTAATTTCTTCTAACTTCTTCATATTTCTACCAACAACGACTAAAAAAATATTTTCATATGGTGAATATACAATAATATCATGTATCTAAATTCAAAAGATATCACCTCAAGCACGTAATTCTTTTTTAATAAAATATTATTTTTCTTACATATTCACTCTGTCCTAAAACGTTCTCCCCAGTTACTATTCACACGATCAAACTTTAATCACTTTCTTTACCTATTTTCGTTGGTTATTTGATAAAATAATGTAGTCTTGTCACATCTTGTTTTGGAAGGAAGATTGAGACATAGATCTGACTTGGTACGCTGGTTGTTACACCGGTCTTGCTGAGTATAATAAAAAATTAAATAAAATATGCAAAACAGGCTTGTCCTGACACGTTAAAAAAATTGTTCTCGTTCAATTCTAGACCAAGAATGATGTGCACCGATCTTGAACACATTTTCTCGTAAGTCTGAACTCAATCGAATTGGGTACACTGGTGTTTCAACCGAGCTCATATCGGGGACGCCTGATTCATTAAGCCTTCTACATGAGACACTCTAAAGATGGTCTCTTCGTGATGTGAAGATATTTGCATCAGCTGTCGCAACTTGCATTATTCGTATTAACTATTATTGATCTCTTCGATGTACGAATTTCATAAACATTGTTTGTTTGACTCGTACTAATCTTGGTTTCGATGAAATGACTATTTGAGACGTCGTTACTTCATTGTACTACTTCTTGTCTCGCCGAAATAATTTTTTAAAGCATCGTTGCTTCATTAAAGTAACATCGCTCTCATTATGATGATTATTCATGTGTGTAATCATTTTTAGCACTGAGCTCCTAGAAAACTAATTATTATGTTTGAGCATGACACACTGACCGGCCAAAGTGTTGTACGTATCATCGTTAGTAACTAGATTTCATACCCGTGCGATGCACGGCCAATATTTTACTAAATATATTAATATTTATATATTAAGAGTATCTTTAGTGAAGAAATGGTAGAGAAATGTTGATGCAGCTCGGGAAGAATAATTTTTTTTGAAAATGTAAATACAAATTTATGAAGGCAAAATATATGTATAAATTCACAAACAAATAGGTACAAATTTAATTACTTTGTTATTATTTCTTAGATAGAATCAAATAGTGAATTACTCTTGGTCTACAAATAAAAATCGCTAGTGTAAATAAACTTCAATATCACCTCAATATGATCTATTAAAACAATGTTATTTACAAATGTAACATCTTTTGATATTAAACTACTTATTATTATCACCTCAAAACTACTATTTTGTGCAACTTATTTGCATTTTGCTATCTTTTCTAATACTCACCCCAAATACTAAGTAACAATAATAGATGTCAAAAGATGATATTGCCCATCTAAGTTTTAACATATTAAATATCATTATTATTCATTCTCATTTATTACACCCTACATCCCAATTAACATACCCCACTCACCATCAACTCACAATGGACACTTGGTTTTGTTTTTGTCATTAAAATGTATGAAAAGTCAACTTTGAAATTTTATTCATAGACATAAGAATAGTTGTGAAACTAACCATAAACGAACACAATGTAACTGCTTTTTGAGCAAAAAGTGTTGAATGTTTCAGTATGTAACATTAATGTTTTAAACATATTAGGAAATTATTTTCTTTGAAATACCAGCTACTTATTTTCAGTTATTGTAAGCTTTAATCACATCGTACTTAAAGACCTAGGTGCAAAACATATTGATTTTTCCCAAAAGAGAATGTTTCACTGTGTAACCGCATGAATGTTTTAAATATTAGGCAAATGAAAATAGTATCTTCATATCATATTTAAAGTAGAGCGGAACCTATTAAATATTCATAATTTAAAGGGGATGCAATAAGTTAAAAAAAATCTTTTCTAAAAAATACTTTCATAAAATAGGTGATCCAATAGTTACTAACAGTTATTTGATCCAAATTACAAAATCAAAGCTTAACCTATATGAATAGAGTAATAAAAAGTAAATTAAACAAATCCAATTGATAATAACCAATCATTAAGGCCCAGCAACAATTAAACTAACATAATTGGGTAGTTCTATTCATAGTCTAACAAATTCCTCAAATTCTTACTTTGAATTTTACGAATCTGGCAGCTTTCCCTGAAAAACAAAGCACCAAAAATCAAATTTAGGTGATTGCAAATTAAAAATAAAATCCATTTTTAATAAACTGCAAAACTGGTATAGTTTCATATTAGGTGGGGATAAAGAGAGAGAAAGAAAGGGAAAACTTGGGGTTCAAAAACTTGGGAAAACTTTAGGTTTATTAATTACGCTGTCAAGCTCATTTTCAACATCTTAATACCAAAATTCTGTCATTTATATATTGTTAATCAGATGCAAACAAATGCAATCAGATTCAAAAAAAGATTCAGGTCATTGAAATCACAAAACTCATTTGTACATCACAAAGCTCATTTCTACATCACCAATCAAAAATATTAGGTTTAGTTTGACTCCTTGAGTATAAGCAGACCATACCCCTACCTCAAAAGCTCATTTCTCCATCAAGAATAAAAAAAATTTAAAAAAGGTCAAAATTTTGCTAAGCTTACCACTTTTTTTCTTTGCTTCCCCACAAAGTAAGAAGCTCATTTCTACACCTAGAATCAAAATCAAGAAATAGAAAAGATCAAATTTATGCTAAGCTAATAAGTTTTTTCTTTTCTTCTGCACACAGGAGAAAGCTCATTTGTACATCAAGAATCAAAATAAAGAAATAAAAAGCTCAATTTTCTGCCAAGTTCATCAATTTTCTTCTCTCACATTTGTCAAATACATTTTTTTGCAGAACAGAGTGTATATATAATCAATGATAAATTAACAATTGAATTAACAAATATATAATCATGTTGACTTTCATTCAATGGGGTGAAGAAAAAATGGGCAATGGTGCTCTGCCAACTACCACTCGCAAAGGTTGAGGTTTGAAAAAGTGGCACCCGAAAGCATACATAAACTTTGTGTAGAAAATCAATACTAAAACTCAAAACTGTATAATAGCTAAAAGCCGAGGAGGATGATGGTATCAAATAAAATTGTATCTTAATAACCATGTTCCTCATTGTACTTGCTGTAATGATTCTTAACTATTGCAATTGAGTTCAATGAGATCATAGTTTTAACTATTGTAATTCAGTGCAATGAGCCAATGAGAGTCATCATGCTAGAAGTGATTAAAGAGACCATAGTTTAAACTATTTTTAAAAATCCATTTAGTCATTAGCTTTATTTTCACTAAGGTGATGGAGAAGCAACTGTACCTACGAAGTATTTTTTTTTAAATTCACATATTAATTTTATACACCTTAGTGAACAAATAATATCTTGAAAGAAACAAAAATAGTACCTTTGGAGAAGTTCATGGGGCATTATGACAAATATTTTGTGTGCCTCCTCCATTTTGATATTATGTGCTAAGAGTCCAAGAAATGTTCCCAACATGTAAAAGTGTAAAAATGGAATTAAGGAAATTGAATTCAAAATCAATCGTTATTCTAGTGGTTCATTTATAAGAAATGTATTGAGAAGAAAATGAAATAGAGAAGATAAATTATGATTTAAACATGAGAAGAAAGATTGATATTTACGGAGTATAATTTTGAAATATTCAAACTTAATAGCTCTACATACCATTATCCAAAAGCGAGCTTCGCGGTGTGAGTATAACCCTAACAGGTCAGTATAACATACCTGCTAACTTATCACTTTTTTTCACCCCACTTCATCTGTTTCCAATAACCACAAATTTAGGTAGGAGGTGACCTACAATTCCATCTTGTAGTCTTCCCATCTCAACTCCACAACTCCACTTTTCTCTTTTGTTTCTAGATTATCAAGTGTTCATCCTCATAAATGACATATGGACAAACAATAGGTGAAGTATTCTTCAGTGGCAAAAAGCTTAAGCTCTTATTAGAAAGAAAATGCTCTATTGACATTCAAGTATACTATAACAATTCAAAAAAAAAATCAAACTCAAAGAAAACCATTCCAGTCACTAATTACTAATCTCATATTTCAAGCTTATAAATAGGATCCCAACACAAATTAATGAATCTAGAGTTGAGTGATTGTCATCTTAGAAGCATAATACCTTCAATTGTTGTTTGGTTCTCCCTTGAACTTGTGAGAGCTTGTCTAAGCTTTGAGATTCCCTATCTCTTCAGATGGCATTTGAAGTCTGAAATAACACAATCAGACCAGTACGTAGTAAGAAATGAAATGTTACCTGGGCTCTAAATTTTTTTGAATCATTTCGTTGAACACACAGTGAGCATTGCTCATCCACACCAATTCGTTTTCTTCAACTACAAAATCTAACATATACTTGAGTAAATATGTAAAATCGAAGAATAAAATGAAGATGAGGAAGTGGAATACCTGCAGCTAGTGGTCTTTCTCGTCACTCGTCAGAACCCATAGCCGGGGTTTTAACCGTAGGTGAAGGCTGTTTGACTCAGCCCTCTCCTGCAATTTTTTATCAGAGATGGAGATGCACGATTCTTCTGACTGTGCCTTAACTTCTTCCAATTCTTTTTAATGAAGGAGATAGAGGATTGTAAGTGTAGGACTGAGTGCGGAATCGGCTTAGCGCTATGAATCTAGAAGCTGTTGTGATAGAGAGAAGAATGAGAAGGTGACAGAGATGTCCATAGGGGAGAAGCTTACTTGATACGCTCGAGGAGAAGCTTACTGCTACGTTCCATCAAGCACGACTTCCAAAATATTTTTTTAAATACGGAGGGAGTATATGCAATTAATGATTTTTTTTTACAAAAGTTGGAATATAACCCTACCTAAAATAGGCTCATATGCAGCTGTCAGTCTCAGGCTCTCAACCCATTTATTACGCCCGACCCATCGTATACCCAGCCCAATACTGTTCAAAAGTGCATCTCAGCTTTGTATATAGTATCGATATACGGCAAACGTATAATACATAAATACGTACATTCGTGTATAATACGTTAGGACTTTATAAAATACGGCTTACTATGCATATTAAACGTTCCGCATACGGATACAGATACGTATGCGTTTTAAACATTTCCTATTTTTAAAATATGTCTTATTATATGTTTATATATATTATCATATATCCGTCAAATTTACACATATTTATCAATTGATAGTCATCAATTTATATTAGGATAAATAAACAAAATACAAAAATATTTTAAATGAAATATCTACAATTGTTTTTTTCCAAATTAGAATCTCTATTTATTTAACATATTTAATTGAAAAATATATATACTCCCGTCATTTGAAAAAAATATTCTTATTTGACTTTCACATATATAGTTTTAAAAAATGTTAAAAATAAAAAATTTATAGTTTGGATATATTTAGAAAAAACAAATAAATGTTGTGAGTTACTCGTTCTTTTTTAAAAAAAATAAATTTTTGAAAGGAAAAGAGTGAAGTCTTTTTTTGAACATGACAAAAAAGTGTAAATTTTTTTGTAGAATGTAGATAGTATATACTTTTTCAAATTGATTAAGTATTATATGTATAACTGATATGAAGTATTACTCGTATTTTGTTTGAATATTTTTTGGAACAAATTAATATTTGTTGTTGTACAAAAAATATTATAATGAAATATTCAATTCATACGTATAGTATCAAATATACGTGTATTTTAAAGTATTTTTGAAAATCATATGGATACGTGAGTATAATACGTGTATTATACGTACGCAAGTATAATACGGGTATTATACGCGTATTAACTAACTAGGGACTACGTATTAATTTTACAGGGAAACATCTCGTTCAGCGCTGGAGAACTAATGAAGAACATGGAGGACTAGCAATATCTACTGGTCAAGAACACAACATATGAAGACTGAAGAGAGCACTCGGATGACTAATTTACTTTCTAAATATAATTTGATGATTCTCACAACTTAAAAAAATTGAAGGACTACATGATGGAAAATAATATGTGGTTCGGCCCCACATATTTGGTAAAATAGAGGAATAAGAAAATATTACTCCATAGATGCTCTTGCTACTCAGATAAAAGAAGGCGTACTCCACCAAGAGGGAGAAACCAACTCTCCTACTTACTCCCTTACGTCCTTACCCATCTCTCTCTCTATCTAGATACTCCCCCCGTCCCTAAATATTCACAACATTTGCTTTTTTAGCAGTCGCGGAAACTTTTATTTATATCGACGTTTTCATTGGTTATTTGATAAAATAAAATATTCTTGACACCTCTTATTTCGAAGAACTTTTCATGTAATTTTTTGATATGTAATTTTTATTTTTTATTTCTTTACCAATATGTAAATAAAATGAATTAAAAAACTTGATATTTTGTCTCGGTAATAAAAATGTGACAAATAATTTGGGACGAAGGAAGTATTTCATTGTACATTTTCTTCTTTCTCAAGAGCATTAATGGCTTCTAAGCCTAAACAATGTACTGTGTACAACTTTTGATATTAATAAAAAAAATTCCATTGGAAAGGTACTACCAAAAAAGACTCGTTGTTTTCTTGCCCAACTAAGAACGATATTCCGGTCGATATAATTTACACCATCACCAGCTGCAGTGAGAGGAAATTATGTTAAGTAAAGAGTCATTTTAAGCACTAGTTGCAAGCTCCATTGCCACCAATGTTTGATTAATTTTTTAAAGCTATAATTAAAGTCTAGTTTACCTTTCTCTTGGATAACTATCTGATTGGTTCTAAAGATCCTCGAAAATGAGATTCATCATTAGAAATGATCTTTTTTAACTTTTAAACATATTGGGCAATGACCTGAAAAGAAAGCTCCCTGCTATTACTAATTTACTATCTCTAGGCATGTTTGGATATTGAGTTTTCAAATAGCTTTTGGCTATTTTGACTAATTTGGCTGTTTTAACGAGTCAAACAACCAAATAGAGTGTTTGGCAAATGACTGTTGAAGTTGGCTGCTAAAGTCTGAAAAGTCAAAATATGAAAAGCTGGAGTATAATTATTCATTGTATAAATAATAAATAAATAAATAAATATGAAGTAAATAAAAAACAAACAAATAAATGAGTAAATAATTACTACAAAAGCCAACTTCCAAACATGGCATTTATTAGAGTGAACTAACCCAATAAGTGAAGGAAAATGCTAGAGTCACAAACTTGAAGTTCACAAACTTCACAAACTTACCTTTTGTGGAATTTAAATTAAAATATTTTTTAATATTTGAGTGGGCATCTTATTTCTAGGAAAGTGCTAAAAAGGTAAGTTTGTGAATTTTGTAAACTGTTTGTTTTTGACTCTAGCATCACTCAGAATAACAGACGAGATAGAACCTCCACAATGCTAACCAAACAAAACAAAACACCCGCCTGAAAAAAAAGAGAGAAAAAACTCCAACCATCTTCAGGATATCTGCCGTCAATCCCATTCTCCATCCCCAGGTAATTAATGTTCCAAACGCTTCAATGGATACCCTTATCTCCACTTCCACTTATCGTCTACCCAAAGCTTCACTAGCTCTCCCTTCTTCCAAACGGCGACCAAATCCCCTCAGTTTACCCAAACCTCCTTGCTGCACCCTCAGAGCATGCCATATCCGGCCTGAAAAGCACTCTTTATCTCCACCAAAAACATGGATTTCGCATCTCCGTCAAGGAATAGCTGCGGTTGCCATTTCTGTGGCTCTAAATTTCGGCCCTGTTTTGCCGGCTGGTTCCGCGTTAGCATCTGAATTTGATGTCCTCAATGGAGGCCCTCCTAAAGAATCTTATGTTGTTGACGATGCTGGGGTCCTTAGCCGGGTCACAAGATCCGATTTGAAGCAATTTCTGTCAGATTTGGAGTCGAGGAAAGGCTACCGAATTAACTTCGTTACTGTCCGGAAGCTGACTGTAAGCTTCCTAACTTTGGGTTGTTTTTCTTTCGCATTCCTATTGTAGCATTCGAATGGAATCAATCTAGATTTTCTGTTTTCACTTAAAATATTTGCTTTTTGCTTTGCAATGCCTAGGAAATTAAGGAGTACTGAGCTTTGTTAATGTCTATATTAATCAGTAGTAACTACTTCATGTTTGAGGCCAAAGTTTACTTTGTGATACTCCTTTCTTTTTGGCTTTCTTTTTTTTGTTTGAGCCAAAATAAAGTTTATATTTCTTTTTTTTCTTTTCAGGAAAGGGATATGTGGTTAATATTAATAATAATTTTCACTTTTAAACAAATTTCAATCACTAATTTTTCAGTTTTCGTCATATTCTCCTTAAGTCACAGTGTAAACTATTTTGCTGGACGGAGGAAGTATAATGTAGGGTATTTACTATTCACTTGGCTTGACTAACATACTAACGTAGCTAGTCTTTATCCTATAATTGCTTTATGCTCCCTCAGTCATATCTTATGTGTCTGTGTCGCTATTTAGGTCCAGCTTCTCATCCTTCTGACCATCCCTACTTAGTTTTATTCTCGTGTAACGTCTGATATTTAGTTTTTAGATATTTTAGTTTATTGTATTGTCCTAGTTAAATGTTATATTGAGATTACACTGGGGTTGTACTTTATATTATAACATTTGCAACGAAAATAATTTCAGATTTGCATTGTTACATAGGATACATAAATTGGGACTGCCTGTTTGCATGAGGACACGTAAGTTGGACCAGGAGTATAATAAGATTAACAATATGTCACCGTGTCTAAGGCTGGTGTAAAATTAAAATTCTGAGATTATTCGTGGGATTTATCCACGGAGAAGGTGGACACGCTAGTTCATAACTACATATTAAAACCTTAGACCCTTCAATCTGGACTTGTTTAGTGTTCTGATTGCTAACTTAGCAAACAAAGAATGCACATTTGTGTTTGGGGAATCACACTTTTCTAGAATTAATTTGGAAACAAGGAACAGCATATTACCTAGTGAGTGTATTTTCCTTATACTGTAAAATATTGGGCACCTTAAAACTCCAACGCCCCTTTGAAATGGTCAAAATAGCTCCTGTTTTGGGAAGGACGAATTTGAGATCCTATTTATAATTCATGTCTATGCTTTACAATTAAAAACCCGAGTATACTGTTATAATCTGTTTCATCTAATATCCATCAATAATATATTTGAACTAAACAAGGAGTGTTTAAGACTACAAGATTTTTCGTGATCCAAGGGAGAATTCAGTTACCTCATGTTTTACCCTAATATTTGATGTTGCACCACATGTTTTGCTTTTTCAGGCATGTACCCCAGAGTGGAGTGGCCAAATAGTATGGTAAATCAATGGGTCCAAATTCTAGTGCAAATTACCTGCTCTGGGATGCATGTTGAACCAAAACTAGACATGTGGTGCAAACTCAAATATTGGTATAAAACATGGGGCAAAAGGATAAGTTGTTCCTTTTACGAAACTCTTGTTCCTCCATAAAAGAGAAGAAAAGTTCAGGAATATTGTTATCAGGTAGTGAGTGATAGCCTGATAGGAATGTGATTTTGAATTATTCATGTTTTGTGGCTGTAGAGCAAGGGCGATGCATTTGAGTATGCTGACCAAGTTCTGGAGAAGTGGTATCCCAGTGTTGAAGAAGGTAGCAATATAGGATTAGTCGTGCTTGTTACAAGTCAAAAAGAGGGGGCTATCACTGGTGGACCTGAATTCGTGAAGGCTGTTGGTGACACTGTTCTTGATGCTACTGTTTCAGAGAACCTCCCTGGTATATCTTTTTTTTCCCAGTACTCACAATATTGATTTTTTTGTAGTTGCATGGAAAGTAAATGAATTCATTTTTTTAGAAAAATCAAGGTAATTCCTTGTTTTTGGCTTAATTGCTATGGAATGTGGTAGCTTTTGTCAGCATGAATCACTGAATTGAATATGATTGTTCATTCCACATGATTAAGCATCCATGTTAGGGTTAGTTTTAGGTGAGGAAAATAGATGCACAACAACAACAACAACCCAGTTGGATCCCACGAGTGTAGGGTTTGGGGAGGGTGTGTGTACGCAGACCTTGCCCCTACTTGAAAGTAGAGAGGCTGTTTCCAAGAGACCCTCGGCCCGGGCTCAAGCTACATAGACAAAAATATCACAGGATATACATAAAGCTGAGAGATGCACATATAAAGCACAAAGTACACAAAGGCAAAGAACTAACTAGAGTTGACGAATGAAAAGTAATGCAATCAGTAAGGAAAAGAGATGGTGGAACAAAATAACAAAATTGGCAGTTCATGAATTCCTTCTTGGTTTAAGCTCTCAGCTGTGACAACCTTTATCATGATTGTGTTACAATGTCTCCTAGTTGGAGCAAACTGGGCAATAAACTAGTTCTTCATGTTTCAAGCAATAAAGTTACACGCCTCAAGCCCCTCAAAAAGGATACAAATGCTTGCACCATAACTAAAATGCTCTAATTCGCTGAGATTGGATCTTGCAATGGCGTAACAGGCATATTATCAATATATTCGCTACATTTTTATCAAATTCCATGACCTTAAAATCAACAGTGATGGAATTGCACGAGTCTGTGGTAAATATGATGTGCCTGATTGTTTCTGAACCCTAATTTTATAGATTCCTTGTGAATCCAACATTGTTATTTGTTCTGTTTGGCTTGCACTCCCATGTTCGCAAGCTGGCATTCAATGGGCAACTAATCCTTTTTTACTTTATTTGTGTTCTATAGAGGGAAACTAACAATTTTCTTTCATTAACATTAGTTTGCTCGTTGCCTCTTTATTCTTTGTGCTTTATTTGCTCTATGTGTCTTCTGTGATCGTATATTTTGAGTTGGGGGTCTCTTGAAAACAGCCTCTCTACTTTGGAGTAGGGGCTAGGTGTGTGTACACACACTCTTTACAGACCTTATTCTCGTGGGATCCAACTGGGTTGTTGTTGTTGTTGTAGAGGAAAACTAACGCTGTTATCTGTTTCTTTTTATTTAAAAAAACTCATGTGTGTCTAAATTTTAATTATATAGGGATACTTTGGAAATAATTGAAAAGGGATTGAATAGTACCCTCTTACTAGTATTATCTATTTATCTGTGAGAGAATTAAAATTCAGTCTGTTAACCAAAAACTAGACATTTCTAATGATTAAAGGAAAAGTAATGCACATCGTCGAAGGTTAACTTAGTTAAACTTGAGAAGTTTTGACTTTTGGGGCTTTTGTTATCCAATAAGATGAACTCATAAAAGTGGGCCTCAAGAGTTGACCTGTATTTATATCATACTCCCTCTGCCCCCAAACTAAAGTTACTTTGATCTACGATGGTTACTGAAATGATTTTCAATTCAATTTATTTGATATTGGTGTAGGAATAAAAAATAAGATTTGTATATTAAAAAACTACTCTCTATGTCTTTAAACAAATTTCTCGCTTTTCTTTTTGGAATGCCCTGAAATTTTTTGCACAATTCCTTCTAAGAAAGATTTGTGTAGCTGTCATTCTTTCTTAATAAACCACAACCACGTTATTCTAATTTCTTAATAAGTGTGCAAGTAAAACTTGGAATACAATTTTAGGACGGGAGTAAATCAAAAGTTCAACAAAACAATAGGTGGTATGACTATTATTTTGTCAAATGATCAAGGAAAATATGTAAAGAAAGAATAATATGGTTTGACTTTATGAATATAATAAATGTGAATTTGTTTCTGGGATGGATGGAATATTATAGGAGTATTATATTTTTGCATTATAGTACTCCCCCCATCCTGAAATAAATTTCATGGTTTGACTTCATAGAGCTTAAAAAGATGTTGAAAAATAAAAAGTGTATGGTTGGAATTTGTTAAGAGTTGAGAGAAAAATTTTGAGCCACGTGTTACATTCTATAATAGGAAAAACGTAAAGTGTGAAATTTATTTTGGGATGGACGAAAAAGGAAAGTGTGAAGTTTATTTTGGGATGGAGTATATCTTATGATGTGATAGAGGGCAAAATAGAACATGCCTTGTGCATGTTAAGATTGCTTCCACTGATAAGAAAATTGGTTTCAATTTGTGTAGTCTTGGCAACTGAAGAGAAGTACAATGAAGCAGTATATAGCACTGCCAAGCGTCTTGTTGCTGCCATTGATGGGCTTCCAGATCCTGGTGGGCCCAAGTTCAAGGAGAACAAGCGAGAATCTAACTTCAAAACCAAGGAAGAGACAGAAGAGAAAAGGGGGCAATTTACGCTTGTGGTTGGTGGTCTGTTAGTGATTGCTTTTGTTGTTCCAATGGCACAATATTATGCATATGTATCCAAGAAATGAACTGTAATCATGGCTGTTCTTTACCCGAGGTCAAGGTTCTGTTATCATTTGACTTGAGGAAACTTGCTGTATACATTCAGTGTACAAACTGTAATTTGTGAAATAACTTATTCATTCATACTCCCTACTAATTTTAGAATAAAATTTGAAATCTCGGCCGATTTGATAAACAGGTATGCCTCTACTTTGTGTTGTCCTTTTCTAATTACCTTTTTTTCCCTTTCATTACAATAAAAACTTCATTACAGCTGATAAAACCAATGGAATTTTGCAGACTAATATCATTTTAATTATGGATGCCATTTATTAGACAGTGTTTGTGAAAGAATGAAACAAGGACAAGCATGTTAGGCCACTAGAACTTGAGTTTAAGCAGGAAAGGCATCTGGTCTCTGAAAGGCGGATCCGAGTATTTTCCGGTGAGAATTTGCGTTGCAACATACTGATTTGCAGCGTCTGTGTAATGAATGCCATCCCAGTTTATATATTCACTACTCTCATTGCACCCTTTGGCTGTGATTGTCGTTCCATTTATAACCTTAATCTGCCCACATGATACTCGGCTGTCATAGTTCAGTGGAGGGCCTCCAACTCCACAGCAAGCCATTGTAGCCTGCTCAAATCCTGTATGCAATTATGCAAAGTGAATTCTCTTTTCTAATTCAATTTGAACAAAAAGAAAATTTACCAGACATGGATTGTCTACCTTGCATAGGATGTACTTCAAAATGCAACACTTATTTCCTTTTGGTCAAAAATGGTTTTGGATTCTCTTCACTGCAGTGGACCATCCACTATTAAATTTGTGGCAATAACAGCATTGTGAATTAGCTTTCTTTCAACCACAAATTTAGTAGTCATTGCAGTGAAAGAACGAATCTTTTGTCTTTGCTCTTTAGAAAACATGAATGATACTGTTTCACTGCTTTTAAGTTGCTTCATAATCATTCATTAATATTATTCAACATTACTTGGTTCTTGTGGGAGAATAATAATCTAATGATTTAGATTGTTATAAGAGAAACTAGTTGTGGAAATTAGAAGCATACGCACCATATTTGGAATAATTATCAATGAGATCAAACTTGATTGTGAAAATATCAATGTAAGTGATATTTACATCAGCATATTTGCCTTGCAGCTTCCTGCAGAGTGAATGCAGCTGCAGGTTGAAGAGTCTAGCAGCCTGGTTATGTGAGTATACACATCCCAACTCATCCAGCTTTATTGGATCAGTCCCAAAATTTGCAATATTCTGAGGTAAGCAACCCAGAGGACCCGTGTTGTGAATCCAAAAATTTCTTGCCCCTCCTTGATCATAAAGTTCCTGAATGCAGATTGTAGAAAATGCCATATCATGAACAGTGGAACACATATGTATAATAATCATTTTCTTATAACTCATAATTGGGCCTTTCATTTCGGAAGTCAGAACGTTTTTACCTCAATCCTGTTTTCAAATTCCAACAGAATTGTAGGAATCGAAGCAAGAACTTGATCTAGTGTCTTGGAATAAAAGGAACCAGCAAGATCATTCTGGCCTATATCAAACATGTATAGCCCACCCTGAAAAAAACTTTCAGCCGGTACGTACTTTTCATATTTCCTTGCTGCAAAGAGATCCAAGTGCATGAACTCATAATATTAGGAAATTGGAGATATTTAATTTTGTATATATCATAAAGATCAACTTACAACTCTTAGCTTGAATTTCGAGAACTCGAGACTTGAATCTTAGAAACTGAGAGACTTGAATACCAAATGAGAATGGGCTAACAGACGATGCTGTTGCAGGGAGTATGGTGGAACCAGCAGCTGCAAAGTTGCATCCTTTTCTGAAACTTGGCATGCCAATGGAATCCAAGTAAGGGTTCAACAATGGCAAATCCATTGCCTCCACTGCAAACTTCAAAGTCAGTATATATGTAGGAGGGATACATTCGTAATATTTTCTTATTATCATTATTACACACACACACACACATTGGGGTAAACATGAGATGCAAATATCAAATTCTGCAAAAGTATTCTCACTTAGAAAGTCGATGATCAACTGTCCATCACAGAACCTCCCAGCGGGTTTCTTGAAGTAAACGTATCCATTGGGTGGGTCAAGGCGGTCGCCAACCCCTGCGACAAGTCCTCCTGTATCAGAGTTTGAATCACCGAAGTTGAAAACTGCAGGGTAATTGAAGTCGATGGCATTGCCAATGGGGAAACAAATAGAGAACAGCACAAGAAGTTGAAGAAGGGCTGCAAAAACTTTTGAAGCCATTTACTTGTGTGCTATTTGAAGTTAAAAATTGGCCTTATTTCCCCCCCACATGTATGTTCTTTTGATCAGCTAGCTGTATTGCCTCATAAATAGTAGCCATTTCATATAGTCTGGTGAGCTTTTGGAGTGTGACTAAAGTTTAAGATTTAAGAATGTGGGGAAGGAAAAAACGTGCAGTGTACTGTTGCGTTTATATCATTGTCATCATGATGGCTCAAGGTCACTCTTTGCATTATAATTCACACAAGCGTCCATTTGGAATGGAGCTAAAATGTCATATTTAATATCTTTGTCAACTTTTTTTTTATAAAAAAAACTCATTTTTAAGAAACTAAGTTTAAAATTTCAAATAAGTCCATCTTGTAAATCATTCATGTCAACAATGTTTAGAATCTACAATCAGGATAATTTGAGCAATCCATAAAAAAATTAGTTTTTTTTTCTTTTGTTTTGGGACCTTTACTTTTTGTGAATGATATTGTACTCATCGATGACACACATGAGGGACTAAGCGATAAGATTGAACTCTGGTGCTATTCTCGGGATTCAAACTTAGTAGGACAAAGATTGAATACATGGAATGCTATTTCAATGGCCAGAAGATGGTCTCAAAGGTGGAAGTTAGGATTAACTCTCACCTAATGCACAAGGTTGACAAGTTTCAGTATCTTGGCTCGAATCATTCTGACAGAGGGAGAGTCAAATGGGGATTTTGTGCATTGTGTTGGAGTAGCTTGGCTAAGTGGAGGTTGGCTTCAGGGTTGTTGTGCGACAAGAAGATTTCACCAAGATGGAAGGTAAGTTCTACTGGTTTGTCGTCAGACCAGCTATGATCTATGGGGTGGAGTGTTGGGTGGTTAAGAAGATTCATGTGCGTCGTCTGAATGCGATAGAGATGCGGATGTTGCGGTGGATGTGTGGCAGGCAAGATTGGATAGGATTCTGGACGAGGTTATTCGAGGTCGGTTAGGAATGGCGCCTTTGGAAGATAAACCCTCATAGGGTAGCTTGAGGTGGTTCGGTCATGTGAGACGGCAGAATGTTGACGCTCGTGTGCTAGGATGTGAGATGCTTATGTTGGTAGGGGGACGTAGAAGAAGGGGTAAACCTAGGAAGAGTTGGAAGAAGGTGGTTAGACATGACTTAAGACTTATTCACCTTAGTGAGGATATAGTCTATAGGAGCATTTGGAAGGATTGGATTAAAGTAGCTGGGTAGGTGCCTTAGGATAGGAGGCAGTGTTGTGTGCTTGTTAAACCTTTTTATGTTTTGTCTTTTTGCTATTTTTTGTAAGTACTTTTTGCTATTTCCTTGCAATACTTCTGCTTCGTAATTTTAGTTTATTTTCTAGGTTTTGGATGCTTTATCTGTATTGTATGTGTGCTCTCCCTATTGCGTGCATCTGATGTGAGCCTTCTTTTTGTGGAGCTTGAGCTGGGGTCTTTTGGAAACATCTTCTCTCACTTTCGAATAGGGGCAAGGTCTGCGTACACACACCCTTCCCAGGTCCTACTTTCGTGGGATTCAACTGGGTCGTCGTTGTTGTTGTTGTTCTTATTTCTCTGAATTTTTTTATTGGATATGTAAAATAGAAAAAAATCATGAACAAATTAAAACAAAAAGTGGGTTGAGAGGGTACTTCGTATTATATTCTTCGACCCAAAATGAGATTCCTAGTTATTAATTTTACTTTTCTTTTTATGTTTTCATTTGATAAAATAAAATAATTTTTGTTATCATTTATTTTGTAGAAATTTTGATGTTGTTTTTAAAAACTTCATATATAATTTTTATTTTTAATTTTTAATTAATTTTCATTTATATTTTTTTAGAAATAACTTCAGTTAAGCATCGTAAATCGAATAGAAACCTTGAAAAACCCACTCATTTTAAAGAAATGAGTTTAAGATCTGAAATAAGTCCATCTTGTAATTCATTCATGTCAACAATGTTTAGATTTTATATTCAGGACAATTTGAGGAAATCATCAAAAAAGTTGTTCTTTTTTTTGCTTTTGTTTTGGGACCTTTGCTTTGGAGAATGGAGAGGTGGAGTGTGTTCCACTCACCCGATTTTATGTATTTAATATATGCTCTTATTTTTCTGATTTTTTTTATTGGATGTGTAAAGGAGTTGAAAACTAATTATGGATAAATAAAAACAAAAAAGTGGACTGCGAGAGTATTATACTCTTTGTCCCAAAGTAAGGTTTGTGAGAATTTTCGATGTACTACTTTTGTAATACTCTGTATATATAATTTTTATTTTTAAAGTTTTCACCAACTTTTACTATATTTATTTAAAAAATAATTCCAACCAAACATCGTAAACTGCAAAAAAATTTTATTTTGGGACGGAGAGAGTATTTTTGAGGGGTAAAAGTGGCATAAAACAGAAATTACATGTTTGTTAATTGCAGGAGTGGTTGTTTGTGATGGATAATACTCCAACATATTTAGAATTGGAAGTTACATGTTTGTTATTCTGCATATTACATGGGCTAGCTGGTGCGGCATTCTAATGTTAACAAAATGATATGGGCAGTTTGCTCCACCGTCACTTTTTTTGTGATGAAAAGTACTATTTCTTTCCATTGCATTTTCTAGTGTTTCGTAATATGCAGAATAACTTTTTTGGTAAGCAACTGGGTACATGGATGGTGCATGAATGTTACTGTTACTTGACTTATAGTGCACATATTATATTAAGATTTCCAGTTACAAAATGGTTCAGAGTTTAGAACTCTGTTGTAACCCTATATATTCTCATGTATAACCACCCAAATGTTGACATTACATCCACACAAAACAGTGCATTACAAAGACACAAATCCTTCTAAAGAATTGAAAACCAATATCCCAAGTTTCACCATGATAAAAGGTTTCATTCTATTCAATAGACCACAAATTTTCAAGGTAAAGCTTTTCTCCTTTGAAAAACCCTTTCTTTAGATTTGGCACCTACACTCTTACTCAATATAACCATTCTTACCAAATGCATTTAAGGAAATGATTTTTCATGAAAACCCCATTTCTTTATATTTGGCACCTAGACTTTTGAGGTGTTCAAGATCTGTGCTACTAAAAACACCCACCCAATAAAACTAGTTCGGTCACTCTCGGTCGAACATGTGGGTACTAGTTCGATCATAATTGGTCAAGCGTGAATTAATTCACCTCGGGTAAAATAAGCATTGAATTGATAGGGCTTACAATTCCCCATGGAGGTGGCTGCAGCCTTCACTTGGGCAAGTATGAAATGCATAGCAACTTTATGCTGGATGGTTGGTATGACTTTGCATAAGGAAGCAAGCTGAATGGCTTGGCCCTCTCCGTGATGTCCAACACTGATAAATTTGCTTCACTGGCCAAGGCAAGAAAACAATTAAATGTAGTGATGTTGCGAACCACAGAGGCAATATAAGCTACAGGCGGCGATCTTGGAAGTCCATCATGCAGATATGTGCCATTCTGGTCATCACTCTTTCTTGTTGACTTCCCCAAACAACCATCATTTCTACTATCACCAGCTTGCAAACCTTCTCGGTTCAGAAGAATGGCTAAAACTTGAACAAGATGTGGCAGACACAATGGATCATAAATAACATCTGCACCCAAACTATACGGACTCCGGTTAAGAAAGCACTACTAAATACTAGGGGAGAGTTTGGTTGCAACGTTCATCAATACTTGAAATTGTTGAGCTCTCAAAGCGAAAATTAGTATCTGGGGAGTAGAGAATATGCTCACACTATATCCGGATTGATCTGCTGAAGACCATTTTCAGCTGCAGATTCCCAGGGCAAGTGCAGGCATTGTACCTAAGAATGTGAAATTTATCAGCATAGAAGATAACTGTATCTCACACCAAAATCCGGTTTTACTTGTTATTAATTTTACTTGGACAAAGAATCAATGTCTCACTTTATAGATGACTTGTTTGCCCCACCGTCGAAAGTATCCGAGAGTGCCCCAATATGTATGAAGCTTAAGCCTCTAAGGCAAATTCAAAACATGTCCATTTATATCTTCATCCAACCCAATGTGTGTGAAATATATTTCCATGGATTTGAGAAAGGTTAAAGGCAAAATCGTGAATCCTTGTCTGTGTCTAATGTAAAATTTTGAACACATCTTTGAGTGTGTGAAAATACTTATGCTGTTATACGATTAAAAATGAATTCATTTCTAGAACGTAAAATTTTAATGTCATTTTGATAAACAAAACTTTAATAGTTTTAGAAAAAAATTGCTAGGCTGGACAGAAAATGCATGCAATTCATGAGGCTTTCATCTGTTACAGACACAATTACAAGATCAATTTTCGTAACGGATATCTTAGCATGGAACATTTATATACTTGTATGCTTTTGAAAGGGAACAAAGACCAAAAGTTTTAGACTAAGATCTCCGTGGAGCCCTCCATTTTCGGTTATCAGGGTGAAAATTTATAGATACTACAGCACAAATTTATATAAATATTTTTATACTAACTCACTGTATTAGAATCTACTGTATGCTCCAAGAAATCATTACTGGCAGTAATCTTGTTTGACTCCAAATTAAGCCTCATATTTGCTAAAGTTGACAAGTCACCATCACTGAGTATTACCTGCACCAGTTATACAATTATGAAACTCACTTAAATACTAAGATCAATTTGAAAATCAAAGATGTGGGAAAGAGATAGGAACTTGCTTTGGAGGCTTTTATACGGGCTAGACAGATGCCAACTAATCCAACACCTGAACCAACCTGTTATTGTCAAAAACAGATATGCACAGCTTACTCACTTTATTAGATCAGAGATTTATTATGAAAATGTTGTTTAAAGAAAAAGTATGTACCAAATATCAGGGAAATACAACCTTTACTCAAATTGTAGAGATACAGTCTACTTAATTCCTCAATTATGCATATAACCACAATTGGTCCCCGTATAGTAAGCATTGTATTGGAATCAGTCTCCAAATTGACAAAATTTGTTAGTTTTGAATGCTCAAAACACTTTGTAAAGTTGTTATTTTAATTTTACAATTTTGTCTTCATAATATAGACTTTAGAGTGTCAAACTAGTATGACTACCTTTATCATAAATTGCAACATTACATTAATCATCTGAGATAATTAGAGTTATGAACATTGATTCGTCAAAAAATAAGTTAGACAAATAGATGAAGGATATAGAGATTCAGTCGCCTACTTCTCCGTATTTGGAAAACCAAAAATAACATTTCCCCCACAGATGTTAACAAATGATGATGTGTGTCAGAGTGTCAGTATGTGAAAAGAGTGACAACTCTTCATATTCACTAGCAAATGCAAAAGAGTTTCGGAGAATGCTTGGGAAAATAACCATTTACTTGACAGCAGAGATTTTGAAAACTTTGCACTGCCACCTGCTGGTAGTGCTGGACAACAGATTGGAAGGGGGGAGAACAGAACACTTATCTACATACATCTCACCTCAAAGCAAGATTTATTTGTGAATAGTTCTGGAAAGGAAAGTACGAACTCTGAAAGGAAAAGAGATGATGGCCAAATCGAACACCTGATTGAACAAAGCATTAAACACAATTAGATTGGACTGGTACAACAGGCAACTAGGCAAGTCATAGATGTACAATGGAAAATTGAACAAGAATATCATAGCAAGAACAAAAACCCTGCTTCAAAATCATCCACCCATATTAGTTCTCAGATGCATTTTTCCTGTTTTGTGCATTAATCCAAATGGAACTGAAAGCCCCCAATCACCCCCATAAAAATAAAAATATCATTATTGTTTTTAAATTGAGAAGAGAAGCATATGATGGATTTCAAAATCGAAAAGAGAGGTTGATGATTGAATACCAATATCCATCTCATTGAATACCAATATCCATCTCCACATAGCTGCATACAGATTTCAAGTCCACCTTAAATTCTAAATCCATTCATCTAAACGAGGCATAATTGACTTTTTGCAGCAATGCATACCCTGTATCTCCTTCAAGCAAGTTGACTGAGCAGTGCAGCAAAACTTCCAACTTCCGAGATTTTGGACAACTTGGCAAATCTGAACACTCTAAAGATGCAAAAGCATATTCAAATCCATAATCTATATTTTACAAATAAATTCTATAATCACTTCAACAAAAACAATCAAATCCAAAATAAAATAAGACAATCACCTCTAGGGAAGATAAATGAAATTGTTTTTGAAAATCTAGCCTTCTCTTTTGCCGATACATCATCCTAATAATAATAATAATTCTATATTAAATACGGAGTACCATATTAAAATAAAAAATTTGGATACATACAAGTTATGAATTGCTGCAAAAATTCAACTCCCTGTGTTTCTTATTCATCTCCTTCTTTGACTTTGCATGCTTTTAAAGAAAGCGAAAAATTGTACGGTTGAAATTTATTGACGAGAGAGAGAGAGAGAGAATTAACTAGAGAAACATATCATTAAACGGAAACAGTAGATAATTTTGGGACTGACTAAAAGGAGAAGAATGAAGATAAAAAAGGGACTGAGGGAGTATTAACTTTACATCAAATAACGCACAGTAGATTACCTTCATAGACATGTAATATACATATTTCTCGTAAAGCTCATCAATAACGACTTCACCACTTGACTCAATTTCAAAAATAAGTCTCTTCAAAAAACCTCTCACGTAAGGGGAGTAGGCCTTAGCATCCTGGAATACAATTTAAGAGCACAGTCCTCTATGAAACAATAAGAACAAACACTAAGATAGGAAAAACTGCTCATAATAATCTCAACTATCTTTGGTCTACTTCAAATCATCCAAACTATTAGGTGCTTATAATAATCCCAATTATTAAGTGAATCTTCCAAAAGTACTCCCTTGATTTGTTTAAACTTGCAATGGCACATAACCGGGAGTATTTTGGGAAGCTTAATCCAATAATGGGAATTATTTCACCTACAAATAATGTTTGAAATATCAAGAATGTAATTTGATGTCAAACACGTAAACAAATGTTTGAAATATCAAGATACATGGCAATAAAACAGATCGAACATAGTTTAGATAAATTTATCCTGAACAATAATATACTAAGGATTCGGACAACGTACAGTTCTATTAATGCAGTGTTCCCAGATAAAATGTTGTACTCTGTCCGAGATCAGACCTCTGTCGAAATCCCTAAAAATAATTAAACGAAATAAGTAACTGAAATGCATCATCCGTTTGGCTAGGTATGTGCTACCTGGCAAAGGAGATGACAACGTCAGGTGGTTCTATGAAGAGGAAGGCGGATATAACGTGCAGGCACGGCGGAGCGGAGAGGTCTAGCTCTTCAACTGAAGCTTCTGTCGCCATAGCCATGGTAGCTGTGAATTCTAAGCAGGTGTATTGTATATTTGCCAAAAGGTGTTTTGTGGTAACTATATCATCTTACTATATACAAAGATAGATAGGATGCAAATTGGAACAGTGTTCCCTCCTAAAATTTGATATCCAATTACACACAGTAATGGGTCGGGTTCGGGCTTCTGCTGGCATGGATGGGTAGGGCGTCCTGTCTTCCAGCTGTTCACATGAAACGATGCTTCCGATTTGTGCCAGGTACAGTAAAATGAGAGCAGTGGCATTGATTAGAGGGAGCGTATGGGAGAAGCTAAGCAGCTTTTCTCGAGTTTTACGCCAACCTTCTTCCGCTAGATCCGTAAAAAAAGAACGGGCTCTCTCTTCCCTCCACCTAAACGGCGAAGCATCTAGGGTTCCTCTTCCTATGGCGGACATATAGCCTTCGAATGGAACAAGGTAGGAGACGACGACGCCGACTATCTTTTCTACCATAGGGATTCTGGCGGCCATTAACGGAGGAGCTTTGGCGGCCATTAAAGGAGGAGCTTCGGGAAGAAATTGTAGGCCAGGTACGTACATAGCTTCAATTAAAAATTTGGTTTGATTTTCCATCTCAACTCTAAAAGTGTTACTGAAAAATCTATTTTGATTGCATCCATTTTTTCCATCATCTTCTTCGGCGTTTACCTATTATTCAAGTTTGAAATAGTTTTGATTTTCTTTACAAAGTTAATGCTTGCTTTTCGGTACCTCTTTTTTGAACTTGAACCCTGTTGGCAGTTGACAGAGCACCATAGCCCGTTTCCTTCACTCCATGAGTTTCAATTCTTTCTAATTTTTCAGATTCGCACAGGTAATATACCAAATTGTAGCACTGCATCAGCACTAACCTCCCTCTCCAATTTTTTAAGATCACTAATGTCTAATTCCAATTTGCAGAATTAGTGAATCAGGGACTGGGTTGTATTTACAAAGTTATAAATGTTGTGGTTCTGTTGGAGATGGCAGTTCATAGGTGATGCCGTGTTCTTCAAAATCCTGATTTTTTTTTGGTTTTTTGTGATGCCTGGATTCTACTAACATACGTTTTTTAGGATATTTCACTTGGCTGTGAGTCCTATGTTTTTGGATTATTTCATTCTAGCCATTTTATCCCCTGCCATAGACTCACAACCACTTTTTTATAATGTAGGCAGATTGAGATACATGACACTATTTTCAAACCAAACAAGCAAGATTTGGGCTTTGACTGAAGGTAATGTTGTATCATGACAACTATTAATGGACAGTGTAATGTAGACACATATTGATAAACAACACAAATTAACTTGAATCTGGCGTATATGTGTTGTTTGCTGATAATATTGCATTGCCATTCATTATTGTTTTTGATATGGAACAAGATACATCTATTGCAATTTCTTTTGATGATATTCTTGAAGGACAAATAGTTCATTGATGGAAAGAACATTACTTGAATTTGCAAAATGTATCCTGTTGGAAAGAACAATACTAAATTCTAACCATTAACCCACTGCTGCTCATCTTTTGATGGAAAGAACATTATGTGAATCCATTTGGTGGAAACACATTATTATCTATATATACATATATGTTGTTTTATCTTATGATCATCATCTTACTGCCAATGCAACTATAAACACCCTTCTTCATCTTTTTAATACGACAGTTGCAATCCCTAGGGGACTCCATGACATGGAGTAGAACACTCAGTGTAGCAAATCAAGAGTGAGAGAGAAATACGAAGATCTAGATCAATGT